GTCTTTTAAAATCTCTGTCTCGTCCTTCTTCCAAGTTACTGTATCGACTTTACGCGGCAATGTGACAGCTAAATCTAATCGACTTCCCTCTTCGATTTCTACAATGTTCACCTCTTCCAATTTTTCCACCGGTATTTCTATAATTATAAAATGAATATAGATACGGTTTTAATTTATATTGATGAAATATAGGTAGCCGTACCATTTATAATGACTCGTGTTTTGACTTTTTTCCCTTCGAATTCCAAGCTGTATATTCCTTTATCTTCGTGGTCTACCTTAGATACGACCAATTTATAAACGACCCCTTGTTGTACAAATTTCACCCTATCATCCTCCAATATTTCCGTTTCATCCTTTTTCCATTTCACGTCCTTTATTTCGCGAGATAAAGTTACCGTTATTTCAAGTGTAGCGCCTTGATCAACTTCTATTACTTGGATTTCCTCAATCTTTTCCGTTGGAATTTCTATTTATTTTATAATACAATATTAGCACACTGCCAAATGATAATCTCTTCATATATGCAAATATATAACGTATATTACCTTTGACCACCACTTCCGTTTTAACTTGTTCGCCCTCGAATTCTAAAGCGTACACACCTTTATCCTCTGGAACCACTTTAGATATCACTAATTTTTGAACTACCCCTTCTGGTTGGAAGGATATTCGATCGTCTTTTAAAATCTCTGTCTCGTCCTTCTTCCAAGTTACTGTATCGACTTTACGGGGCAATGTGACTGCTAAATCTAATCGACTTCCCTCTTCGATTTCTACAATGTTCACCTCTTCCAATTTTTCCACCGGTATTTCTATAATTATAAAATGAATATAGATACGGTTTTAATTTATATTGATGAAATATAGGTAGCCGTACCATTTATAATGACTCGTGTTTTGACTTTTTTCCCTTCGAATTCCAAGCTGTATATTCCTTTATCTTCGTGGTCTACCTTAGATACGACCAATTTATAAACGACCCCTTGTTGTACAAATTTCACCCTATCATCCTCCAATATTTCCGTTTCATCCTTTTTCCATTTCACGTCCTTTATTTCGCGAGATAAAGTTACCGTTATTTCAAGTGTAGCGCCTTGATCAACTTCTATTACTTGGATTTCCTCAATCTTTTCCGTTGGAATTTCTATTTATTTTATAATACAATATTAGCACACTGCCAAATGATAATCTCTTCATATATGCAAATATATAACGTATATTACCTTTGACCACCACTTCCGTTTTAACTTGTTCGCCCTCGAATTCTAAAGCGTACACACCTTTATCCTCTGGAACCACTTTAGATATCACTAATTTTTGAACTACCCCTTCTGGTTGGAAGGATATTCGATCGTCTTTTAAAATCTCTGTCTCGTCCTTCTTCCAAGTTACTGTATCGACTTTACGGGGCAATGTGACTGCTAAATCTAATCGACTTCCCTCTTCGATTTCTACAATGTTCACCTCTTCCAATTTTTCCACCGGTATTTCTATAATTATAAAATGAATATAGATACGGTTTTAATTTATATTGATGAAATATAGGTAGCCGTACCATTTATAATGACTCGTGTTTTGACTTTTTTCCCTTCGAATTCCAAGCTGTATATTCCTTTATCTTCGTGGTCTACCTTAGATACGACCAATTTATAAACGACCCCTTGTTGTACAAATTTCACCCTATCATCCTCCAATATTTCCGTTTCATCCTTTTTCCATTTCACGTCCTTTATTTCGCGAGATAAAGTTACCGTTATTTCAAGTGTAGCGCCTTGATCAACTTCTATTACTTGGATTTCCTCAATCTTTTCCGTTGGAATTTCTATTTATTTTATAATACAATATTAGCACACTGCCAAATGATAATCTCTTCATATATGCAAATATATAACGTATATTACCTTTGACCACCACTTCCGTTTTAACTTGTTCGCCCTCGAATTCTAAAGCGTACACACCTTTATCCTCTGGAACCACTTTAGATATCACTAATTTTTGAACTACCCCTTCTGGTTGGAAGGATATTCGATCGTCTTTTAAAATCTCTGTCTCGTCCTTCTTCCAAGTTACTGTATCGACTTTACGGGGCAATGTGACTGCTAAATCTAATCGACTTCCCTCTTCGATTTCTACAATGTTCACCTCTTCCAATTTTTCCACCGGTATTTCTATAATTATAAAATGAATATAGATACGGTTTTAATTTATATTGATGAAATATAGGTAGCCGTACCATTTATAATGACTCGTGTTTTGACTTTTTTCCCTTCGAATTCCAAGCTGTATATTCCTTTATCTTCGTGGTCTACCTTAGATACGACCAATTTATAAACGACCCCTTGTTGTACAAATTTCACCCTATCATCCTCCAATATTTCCGTTTCATCCTTTTTCCATTTCACGTCCTTTATTTCGCGAGATAAAGTTACCGTTATTTCAAGTGTAGCGCCTTGATCAACTTCTATTACTTGGATTTCCTCAATCTTTTCCGTTGGAATTTCTATTTATTTTATAATACAATATTAGCACACTGCCAAATGATAATCTCTTCATATATGCAAATATATAACGTATATTACCTTTGACCACCACTTCCGTTTTAACTTGTTCGCCCTCGAATTCTAAAGCGTACACACCTTTATCCTCTGGAACCACTTTAGATATCACTAATTTTTGAACTACCCCTTCTGGTTGGAAGGATATTCGATCGTCTTTTAAAATCTCTGTCTCGTCCTTCTTCCAAGTTACTGTATCGACTTTACGGGGCAATGTGACTGCTAAATCTAATCGACTTCCCTCTTCGATTTCTACAATGTTTACCTCTTCCAATTTTTCCACCGGTATTTCTATAATTATAAAATGAATATAGATACGGTTTTAATTTATATTGATGAAATATAGGTAGCCGTACCATTTATAATGACTCGTGTTTTGACTTTTTTCCCTTCGAATTCCAAGCTGTATATTCCTTTATCTTCGTGGTCTACCTTAGATACGACCAATTTATAAACGACCCCTTGTTGTACAAATTTCACCCTATCATCCTCCAATATTTCCGTTTCATCCTTTTTCCATTTCACGTCCTTTATTTCGCGAGATAAAGTTACCGTTATTTCAAGTGTAGCGCCTTGATCAACTTCTATTACTTGGATTTCCTCAATCTTTTCCGTTGGAATTTCTATTTATTTTATAATACAATATTAGCACACTGCCAAATGATAATCTCTTCATATATGCAAATATATAACGTATATTACCTTTGACCACCACTTCCGTTTTAACTTGTTCGCCCTCGAATTCTAAAGCGTACACACCTTTATCCTCTGGAACCACTTTAGATATCACTAATTTTTGAACTACCCCTTCTGGTTGGAAGGATATTCGATCGTCTTTTAAAATCTCTGTCTCGTCCTTCTTCCAAGTTACTGTATCGACTTTACGCGGCAATGTGACTGCTAAATCTAATCGACTTCCCTCTTCGATTTCTACAATGTTCACCTCTTCCAATTTTTCCACCGGTATTTCTATAATTATAAAATGAATATAGATACGGTTTTAATTTATATTGATGAAATATAGGTAGCCGTACCATTTATAATGACTCGTGTTTTGACTTTTTTCCCTTCGAATTCCAAGCTGTATATTCCTTTATCTTCGTGGTCTACCTTAGATACGACCAATTTATAAACGACCCCTTGTTGTACAAATTTCACCCTATCATCCTCCAATATTTCCGTTTCATCCTTTTTCCATTTCACGTCCTTTATTTCGCGAGATAAAGTTACCGTTATTTCAAGTGTAGCGCCTTGATCAACTTCTATTACTTGGATTTCCTCAATCTTTTCCGTTGGAATTTCTATTTATTTTATAATACAATATTAGCACACTGCCAAATGATAATCTCTTCATATATGCAAATATATAACGTATATTACCTTTGACCACCACTTCCGTTTTAACTTGTTCGCCCTCGAATTCTAAAGCGTACACACCTTTATCCTCTGGAACCACTTTAGATATCACTAATTTTTGAACTACCCCTTCTGGTTGGAAGGATATTCGATCGTCTTTTAAAATCTCTGTCTCGTCCTTCTTCCAAGTTACTGTATCGACTTTACGGGGCAATGTGACTGCTAAATCTAATCGACTTCCCTCTTCGATTTCTACAATGTTCACCTCTTCCAATTTTTCCACCGGTATTTCTATAATTATAAAATGAATATAGATACGGTTTTAATTTATATTGATGAAATATAGGTAGCCGTACCATTTATAATGACTCGTGTTTTGACTTTTTTCCCTTCGAATTCCAAGCTGTATATTCCTTTATCTTCGTGGTCTACCTTAGATACGACCAATTTATAAACGACCCCTTGTTGTACAAATTTCACCCTATCATCCTCCAATATTTCCGTTTCATCCTTTTTCCATTTCACGTCCTTTATTTCGCGAGATAAAGTTACCGTTATTTCAAGTGTAGCGCCTTGATCAACTTCTATTACTTGGATTTCCTCAATCTTTTCCGTTGGAATTTCTATTTATTTTATAATACAATATTAGCACACTGCCAAATGATAATCTCTTCATATATGCAAATATATAACGTATATTACCTTTGACCACCACTTCCGTTTTAACTTGTTCGCCCTCGAATTCTAAAGCGTACACACCTTTATCCTCTGGAACCACTTTAGATATCACTAATTTTTGAACTACCCCTTCTGGTTGGAAGGATATTCGATCGTCTTTTAAAATCTCTGTCTCGTCCTTCTTCCAAGTTACTGTATCGACTTTACGGGGCAATGTGACTGCTAAATCTAATCGACTTCCCTCTTCGATTTCTACAATGTTCACCTCTTCCAATTTTTCCACCGGTATTTCTATAATTATAAAATGAATATAGATACGGTTTTAATTTATATTGATGAAATATAGGTAGCCGTACCATTTATAATGACTCGTGTTTTGACTTTTTTCCCTTCGAATTCCAAGCTGTATATTCCTTTATCTTCGTGGTCTACCTTAGATACGACCAATTTATAAACGACCCCTTGTTGTACAAATTTCACCCTATCATCCTCCAATATTTCCGTTTCATCCTTTTTCCATTTCACGTCCTTTATTTCGCGAGATAAAGTTACCGTTATTTCAAGTGTAGCGCCTTGATCAACTTCTATTACTTGGATTTCCTCAATCTTTTCCGTTGGAATTTCTATTTATTTTATAATACAATATTAGCACACTGCCAAATGATAATCTCTTCATATATGCAAATATATAACGTATATTACCTTTGACCACCACTTCCGTTTTAACTTGTTCGCCCTCGAATTCTAAAGCGTACACACCTTTATCCTCTGGAACCACTTTAGATATCACTAATTTTTGAACTACCCCTTCTGGTTGGAAGGATATTCGATCGTCTTTTAAAATCTCTGTCTCGTCCTTCTTCCAAGTTACTGTATCGACTTTACGGGGCAATGTGACTGCTAAATCTAATCGACTTCCCTCTTCGATTTCTACAATGTTCACCTCTTCCAATTTTTCCACCGGTATTTCTATAATTATAAAATGAATATAGATACGGTTTTAATTTATATTGATGAAATATAGGTAGCCGTACCATTTATAATGACTCGTGTTTTGACTTTTTTCCCTTCGAATTCCAAGCTGTATATTCCTTTATCTTCGTGGTCTACCTTAGATACGACCAATTTATAAACGACCCCTTGTTGTACAAATTTCACCCTATCATCCTCCAATATTTCCGTTTCATCCTTTTTCCATTTCACGTCCTTTATTTCGCGAGATAAAGTTACCGTTATTTCAAGTGTAGCGCCTTGATCAACTTCTATTACTTGGATTTCCTCAATCTTTTCCGTTGGAATTTCTATTTATTTTATAATACAATATTAGCACACTGCCAAATGATAATCTCTTCATATATGCAAATATATAACGTATATTACCTTTGACCACCACTTCCGTTTTAACTTGTTCGCCCTCGAATTCTAAAGCGTACACACCTTTATCCTCTGGAACCACTTTAGATATCACTAATTTTTGAACTACCCCTTCTGGTTGGAAGGATATTCGATCGTCTTTTAAAATCTCTGTCTCGTCCTTCTTCCAAGTTACTGTATCGACTTTACGGGGCAATGTGACTGCTAAATCTAATCGACTTCCCTCTTCGATTTCTACAATGTTCACCTCTTCCAATTTTTCCACCGGTATTTCTATAATTATAAAATGAATATAGATACGGTTTTAATTTATATTGATGAAATATAGGTAGCCGTACCATTTATAATGACTCGTGTTTTGACTTTTTTCCCTTCGAATTCCAAGCTGTATATTCCTTTATCTTCGTGGTCTACCTTAGATACGACCAATTTATAAACGACCCCTTGTTGTACAAATTTCACCCTATCATCCTCCAATATTTCCGTTTCATCCTTTTTCCATTTCACGTCCTTTATTTCGCGAGATAAAGTTACCGTTATTTCAAGTGTAGCGCCTTGATCAACTTCTATTACTTGGATTTCCTCAATCTTTTCCGTTGGAATTTCTATTTATTTTATAATACAATATTAGCACACTGCCAAATGATAATCTCTTCATATATGCAAATATATAACGTATATTACCTTTGACCACCACTTCCGTTTTAACTTGTTCGCCCTCGAATTCTAAAGCGTACACACCTTTATCCTCTGGAACCACTTTAGATATCACTAATTTTTGAACTACCCCTTCTGGTTGGAAGGATATTCGATCGTCTTTTAAAATCTCTGTCTCGTCCTTCTTCCAAGTTACTGTATCGACTTTACGGGGCAATGTGACTGCTAAATCTAATCGACTTCCCTCTTCGATTTCTACAATGTTCACCTCTTCCAATTTTTCCACCGGTATTTCTATAATTATAAAATGAATATAGATACGGTTTTAATTTATATTGATGAAATATAGGTAGCCGTACCATTTATAATGACTCGTGTTTTGACTTTTTTCCCTTCGAATTCCAAGCTGTATATTCCTTTATCTTCGTGGTCTACCTTAGATACGACCAATTTATAAACGACCCCTTGTTGTACAAATTTCACCCTATCATCCTCCAATATTTCCGTTTCATCCTTTTTCCATTTCACGTCCTTTATTTCGCGAGATAAAGTTACCGTTATTTCAAGTGTAGCGCCTTGATCAACTTCTATTACTTGGATTTCCTCAATCTTTTCCGTTGGAATTTCTATTTATTTTATAATACAATATTAGCACACTGCCAAATGATAATCTCTTCATATATGCAAATATATAACGTATATTACCTTTGACCACCACTTCCGTTTTAACTTGTTCGCCCTCGAATTCTAAAGCGTACACACCTTTATCCTCTGGAACCACTTTAGATATCACTAATTTTTGAACTACCCCTTCTGGTTGGAAGGATATTCGATCGTCTTTTAAAATCTCTGTCTCGTCCTTCTTCCAAGTTACTGTATCGACTTTACGGGGCAATGTGACTGCTAAATCTAATCGACTTCCCTCTTCGATTTCTACAATGTTCACCTCTTCCAATTTTTCCACCGGTATTTCTATAATTATAAAATGAATATAGATACGGTTTTAATTTATATTGATGAAATATAGGTAGCCGTACCATTTATAATGACTCGTGTTTTGACTTTTTTCCCTTCGAATTCCAAGCTGTATATTCCTTTATCTTCGTGGTCTACCTTAGATACGACCAATTTATAAACGACCCCTTGTTGTACAAATTTCACCCTATCATCCTCCAATATTTCCGTTTCATCCTTTTTCCATTTCACGTCCTTTATTTCGCGAGATAAAGTTACCGTTATTTCAAGTGTAGCGCCTTGATCAACTTCTATTACTTGGATTTCCTCAATCTTTTCCGTTGGAATTTCTATTTATTTTATAATACAATATTAGCACACTGCCAAATGATAATCTCTTCATATATGCAAATATATAACGTATATTACCTTTGACCACCACTTCCGTTTTAACTTGTTCGCCCTCGAATTCTAAAGCGTACACACCTTTATCCTCTGGAACCACTTTAGATATCACTAATTTTTGAACTACCCCTTCTGGTTGGAAGGATATTCGATCGTCTTTTAAAATCTCTGTCTCGTCCTTCTTCCAAGTTACTGTATCGACTTTACGGGGCAATGTGACTGCTAAATCTAATCGACTTCCCTCTTCGATTTCTACAATGTTCACCTCTTCCAATTTTTCCACCGGTATTTCTATAATTATAAAATGAATATAGATACGGTTTTAATTTATATTGATGAAATATAGGTAGCCGTACCATTTATAATGACTCGTGTTTTGACTTTTTTCCCTTCGAATTCCAAGCTGTATATTCCTTTATCTTCGTGGTCTACCTTAGATACGACCAATTTATAAACGACCCCTTGTTGTACAAATTTCACCCTATCATCCTCCAATATTTCCGTTTCATCCTTTTTCCATTTCACGTCCTTTATTTCGCGAGATAAAGTTACCGTTATTTCAAGTGTAGCGCCTTGATCAACTTCTATTACTTGGATTTCCTCAATCTTTTCCGTTGGAATTTCTATTTATTTTATAATACAATATTAGCACACTGCCAAATGATAATCTCTTCATATATGCAAATATATAACGTATATTACCTTTGACCACCACTTCCGTTTTAACTTGTTCGCCCTCGAATTCTAAAGCGTACACACCTTTATCCTCTGGAACCACTTTAGATATCACTAATTTTTGAACTACCCCTTCTGGTTGGAAGGATATTCGATCGTCTTTTAAAATCTCTGTCTCGTCCTTCTTCCAAGTTACTGTATCGACTTTACGGGGCAATGTGACTGCTAAATCTAATCGACTTCCCTCTTCGATTTCTACAATGTTCACCTCTTCCAATTTTTCCACCGGTATTTCTATAATTATAAAATGAATATAGATACGGTTTTAATTTATATTGATGAAATATAGGTAGCCGTACCATTTATAATGACTCGTGTTTTGACTTTTTTCCCTTCGAATTCCAAGCTGTATATTCCTTTATCTTCGTGGTCTACCTTAGATACGACCAATTTATAAACGACCCCTTGTTGTACAAATTTCACCCTATCATCCTCCAATATTTCCGTTTCATCCTTTTTCCATTTCACGTCCTTTATTTCGCGAGATAAAGTTACCGTTATTTCAAGTGTAGCGCCTTGATCAACTTCTATTACTTGGATTTCCTCAATCTTTTCCGTTGGAATTTCTATTTATTTTATAATACAATATTAGCACACTGCCAAATGATAATCTCTTCATATATGCAAATATATAACGTATATTACCTTTGACCACCACTTCCGTTTTAACTTGTTCGCCCTCGAATTCTAAAGCGTACACACCTTTATCCTCTGGAACCACTTTAGATATCACTAATTTTTGAACTACCCCTTCTGGTTGGAAGGATATTCGATCGTCTTTTAAAATCTCTGTCTCGTCCTTCTTCCAAGTTACTGTATCGACTTTACGCGGCAATGTGACTGCTAAATCTAATCGACTTCCCTCTTCGATTTCTACAATGTTCACCTCTTCCAATTTTTCCACCGGTATTTCTATAATTATAAAATGAATATAGATACGGTTTTAATTTATATTGATGAAATATAGGTAGCCGTACCATTTATAATGACTCGTGTTTTGACTTTTTTCCCTTCGAATTCCAAGCTGTATATTCCTTTATCTTCGTGGTCTACCTTAGATACGACCAATTTATAAACGACCCCTTGTTGTACAAATTTCACCCTATCATCCTCCAATATTTCCGTTTCATCCTTTTTCCATTTCACGTCCTTTATTTCGCGAGATAAAGTTACCGTTATTTCAAGTGTAGCGCCTTGATCAACTTCTATTACTTGGATTTCCTCAATCTTTTCCGTTGGAATTTCTATTTATTTTATAATACAATATTAGCACACTGCCAAATGATAATCTCTTCATATATGCAAATATATAACGTATATTACCTTTGACCACCACTTCCGTTTTAACTTGTTCGCCCTCGAATTCTAAAGCGTACACACCTTTATCCTCTGGAACCACTTTAGATATCACTAATTTTTGAACTACCCCTTCTGGTTGGAAGGATATTCGATCGTCTTTTAAAATCTCTGTCTCGTCCTTCTTCCAAGTTACTGTATCGACTTTACGCGGCAATGTGACTGCTAAATCTAATCGACTTCCCTCTTCGATTTCTACAATGTTCACCTCTTCCAATTTTTCCACCGGTATTTCTATAATTATAAAATGAATATAGATACGGTTTTAATTTATATTGATGAAATATAGGTAGCCGTACCATTTATAATGACTCGTGTTTTGACTTTTTTCCCTTCGAATTCCAAGCTGTATATTCCTTTATCTTCGTGGTCTACCTTAGATACGACCAATTTATAAACGACCCCTTGTTGTACAAATTTCACCCTATCATCCTCCAATATTTCCGTTTCATCCTTTTTCCATTTCACGTCCTTTATTTCGCGAGATAAAGTTACCGTTATTTCAAGTGTAGCGCCTTGATCAACTTCTATTACTTGGATTTCCTCAATCTTTTCCGTTGGAATTTCTATTTATTTTATAATACAATATTAGCACACTGCCAAATGATAATCTCTTCATATATGCAAATATATAACGTATATTACCTTTGACCACCACTTCCGTTTTAACTTGTTCGCCCTCGAATTCTAAAGCGTACACACCTTTATCCTCTGGAACCACTTTAGATATCACTAATTTTTGAACTACCCCTTCTGGTTGGAAGGATATTCGATCGTCTTTTAAAATCTCTGTCTCGTCCTTCTTCCAAGTTACTGTATCGACTTTACGGGGCAATGTGACTGCTAAATCTAATCGACTTCCCTCTTCGATTTCTACAATGTTCACCTCTTCCAATTTTTCCACCGGTATTTCTATAATTATAAAATGAATATAGATACGGTTTTAATTTATATTGATGAAATATAGGTAGCCGTACCATTTATAATGACTCGTGTTTTGACTTTTTTCCCTTCGAATTCCAAGCTGTATATTCCTTTATCTTCGTGGTCTACCTTAGATACGACCAATTTATAAACGACCCCTTGTTGTACAAATTTCACCCTATCATCCTCCAATATTTCCGTTTCATCCTTTTTCCATTTCACGTCCTTTATTTCGCGAGATAAAGTTACCGTTATTTCAAGTGTAGCGCCTTGATCAACTTCTATTACTTGGATTTCCTCAATCTTTTCCGTTGGAATTTCTATTTATTTTATAATACAATATTAGCACACTGCCAAATGATAATCTCTTCATATATGCAAATATATAACGTATATTACCTTTGACCACCACTTCCGTTTTAACTTGTTCGCCCTCGAATTCTAAAGCGTACACACCTTTATCCTCTGGAACCACTTTAGATATCACTAATTTTTGAACTACCCCTTCTGGTTGGAAGGATATTCGATCGTCTTTTAAAATCTCTGTCTCGTCCTTCTTCCAAGTTACTGTATCGACTTTACGGGGCAATGTGACTGCTAAATCTAATCGACTTCCCTCTTCGATTTCTACAATGTTCACCTCTTCCAATTTTTCCACCGGTATTTCTATAATTATAAAATGAATATAGATACGGTTTTAATTTATATTGATGAAATATAGGTAGCCGTACCATTTATAATGACTCGTGTTTTGACTTTTTTCCCTTCGAATTCCAAGCTGTATATTCCTTTATCTTCGTGGTCTACCTTAGATACGACCAATTTATAAACGACCCCTTGTTGTACAAATTTCACCCTATCATCCTCCAATATTTCCGTTTCATCCTTTTTCCATTTCACGTCCTTTATTTCGCGAGATAAAGTTACCGTTATTTCAAGTGTAGCGCCTTGATCAACTTCTATTACTTGGATTTCCTCAATCTTTTCCGTTGGAATTTCTATTTATTTTATAATACAATATTAGCACACTGCCAAATGATAATCTCTTCATATATGCAAATATATAACGTATATTACCTTTGACCACCACTTCCGTTTTAACTTGTTCGCCCTCGAATTCTAAAGCGTACACACCTTTATCCTCTGGAACCACTTTAGATATCACTAATTTTTGAACTACCCCTTCTGGTTGGAAGGATATTCGATCGTCTTTTAAAATCTCTGTCTCGTCCTTCTTCCAAGTTACTGTATCGACTTTACGGGGCAATGTGACTGCTAAATCTAATCGACTTCCCTCTTCGATTTCTACAATGTTCACCTCTTCCAATTTTTCCACCGGTATTTCTATAATTATAAAATGAATATAGATACGGTTTTAATTTATATTGATGAAATATAGGTAGCCGTACCATTTATAATGACTCGTGTTTTGACTTTTTTCCCTTCGAATTCCAAGCTGTATATTCCTTTATCTTCGTGGTCTACCTTAGATACGACCAATTTATAAACGACCCCTTGTTGTACAAATTTCACCCTATCATCCTCCAATATTTCCGTTTCATCCTTTTTCCATTTCACGTCCTTTATTTCGCGAGATAAAGTTACCGTTATTTCAAGTGTAGCGCCTTGATCAACTTCTATTACTTGGATTTCCTCAATCTTTTCCGTTGGAATTTCTATTTATTTTATAATACAATATTAGCACACTGCCAAATGATAATCTCTTCATATATGCAAATATATAACGTATATTACCTTTGACCACCACTTCCGTTTTAACTTGTTCGCCCTCGAATTCTAAAGCGTACACACCTTTATCCTCTGGAACCACTTTAGATATCACTAATTTTTGAACTACCCCTTCTGGTTGGAAGGATATTCGATCGTCTTTTAAAATCTCTGTCTCGTCCTTCTTCCAAGTTACTGTATCGACTTTACGGGGCAATGTGACTGCTAAATCTAATCGACTTCCCTCTTCGATTTCTACAATGTTCACCTCTTCCAATTTTTCCACCGGTATTTCTATAATTATAAAATGAATATAGATACGGTTTTAATTTATATTGATGAAATATAGGTAGCCGTACCATTTATAATGACTCGTGTTTTGACTTTTTTCCCTTCGAATTCCAAGCTGTATATTCCTTTATCTTCGTGGTCTACCTTAGATACGACCAATTTATAAACGACCCCTTGTTGTACAAATTTCACCCTATCATCCTCCAATATTTCCGTTTCATCCTTTTTCCATTTCACGTCCTTTATTTCGCGAGATAAAGTTACCGTTATTTCAAGTGTAGCGCCTTGATCAACTTCTATTACTTGGATTTCCTCAATCTTTTCCGTTGGAATTTCTATTTATTTTATAATACAATATTAGCACACTGCCAAATGATAATCTCTTCATATATGCAAATATATAACGTATATTACCTTTGACCACCACTTCCGTTTTAACTTGTTCGCCCTCGAATTCTAAAGCGTACACACCTTTATCCTCTGGAACCACTTTAGATATCACTAATTTTTGAACTACCCCTTCTGGTTGGAAGGATATTCGATCGTCTTTTAAAATCTCTGTCTCGTCCTTCTTCCAAGTTACTGTATCGACTTTACGGGGCAATGTGACTGCTAAATCTAATCGACTTCCCTCTTCGATTTCTACAATGTTCACCTCTTCCAATTTTTCCACCGGTATTTCTATAATTATAAAATGAATATAGATACGGTTTTAATTTATATTGATGAAATATAGGTAGCCGTACCATTTATAATGACTCGTGTTTTGACTTTTTTCCCTTCGAATTCCAAGCTGTATATTCCTTTATCTTCGTGGTCTACCTTAGATACGACCAATTTATAAACGACCCCTTGTTGTACAAATTTCACCCTATCATCCTCCAATATTTCCGTTTCATCCTTTTTCCATTTCACGTCCTTTATTTCGCGAGATAAAGTTACCGTTATTTCAAGTGTAGCGCCTTGATCAACTTCTATTACTTGGATTTCCTCAATCTTTTCCGTTGGAATTTCTATTTATTTTATAATACAATATTAGCACACTGCCAAATGATAATCTCTTCATATATGCAAATATATAACGTATATTACCTTTGACCACCACTTCCGTTTTAACTTGTTCGCCCTCGAATTCTAAAGCGTACACACCTTTATCCTCTGGAACCACTTTAGATATCACTAATTTTTGAACTACCCCTTCTGGTTGGAAGGATATTCGATCGTCTTTTAAAATCTCTGTCTCGTCCTTCTTCCAAGTTACTGTATCGACTTTACGGGGCAATGTGACTGCTAAATCTAATCGACTTCCCTCTTCGATTTCTACAATGTTCACCTCTTCCAATTTTTCCACCGGTATTTCTATAATTATAAAATGAATATAGATACGGTTTTAATTTATATTGATGAAATATAGGTAGCCGTACCATTTATAATGACTCGTGTTTTGACTTTTTTCCCTTCGAATTCCAAGCTGTATATTCCTTTATCTTCGTGGTCTACCTTAGATACGACCAATTTATAAACGACCCCTTGTTGTACAAATTTCACCCTATCATCCTCCAATATTTCCGTTTCATCCTTTTTCCATTTCACGTCCTTTATTTCGCGAGATAAAGTTACCGTTATTTCAAGTGTAGCGCCTTGATCAACTTCTATTACTTGGATTTCCTCAATCTTTTCCGTTGGAATTTCTATTTATTTTATAATACAATATTAGCACACTGCCAAATGATAATCTCTTCATATATGCAAATATATAACGTATATTACCTTTGACCACCACTTCCGTTTTAACTTGTTCGCCCTCGAATTCTAAAGCGTACACACCTTTATCCTCTGGAACCACTTTAGATATCACTAATTTTTGAACTACCCCTTCTGGTTGGAAGGATATTCGATCGTCTTTTAAAATCTCTGTCTCGTCCTTCTTCCAAGTTACTGTATCGACTTTACGGGGCAATGTGACTGCTAAATCTAATCGACTTCCCTCTTCGATTTCTACAATGTTCACCTCTTCCAATTTTTCCACCGGTATTTCTATAATTATAAAATGAATATAGATACGGTTTTAATTTATATTGATGAAATATAGGTAGCCGTACCATTTATAATGACTCGTGTTTTGACTTTTTTCCCTTCGAATTCCAAGCTGTATATTCCTTTATCTTCGTGGTCTACCTTAGATACGACCAATTTATAAACGACCCCTTGTTGTACAAATTTCACCCTATCATCCTCCAATATTTCCGTTTCATCCTTTTTCCATTTCACGTCCTTTATTTCGCGAGATAAAGTTACCGTTATTTCAAGTGTAGCGCCTTGATCAACTTCTATTACTTGGATTTCCTCAATCTTTTCCGTTGGAATTTCTATTTATTTTATAATACAATATTAGCACACTGCCAAATGATAATCTCTTCATATATGCAAATATATAACGTATATTACCTTTGACCACCACTTCCGTTTTAACTTGTTCGCCCTCGAATTCTAAAGCGTACACACCTTTATCCTCTGGAACCACTTTAGATATCACTAATTTTTGAACTACCCCTTCTGGTTGGAAGGATATTCGATCGTCTTTTAAAATCTCTGTCTCGTCCTTCTTCCAAGTTACTGTATCGACTTTACGGGGCAATGTGACTGCTAAATCTAATCGACTTCCCTCTTCGATTTCTACAATGTTCACCTCTTCCAATTTTTCCACCGGTATTTCTATAATTATAAAATGAATATAGATACGGTTTTAATTTATATTGATGAAATATAGGTAGCCGTACCATTTATAATGACTCGTGTTTTGACTTTTTTCCCTTCGAATTCCAAGCTGTATATTCCTTTATCTTCGTGGTCTACCTTAGATACGACCAATTTATAAACGACCCCTTGTTGTACAAATTTCACCCTATCATCCTCCAATATTTCCGTTTCATCCTTTTTCCATTTCACGTCCTTTATTTCGCGAGATAAAGTTACCGTTATTTCAAGTGTAGCGCCTTGATCAACTTCTATTACTTGGATTTCCTCAATCTTTTCCGTTGGAATTTCTATTTATTTTATAATACAATATTAGCACACTGCCAAATGATAATCTCTTCATATATGCAAATATATAACGTATATTACCTTTGACCACCACTTCCGTTTTAACTTGTTCGCCCTCGAATTCTAAAGCGTACACACCTTTATCCTCTGGAACCACTTTAGATATCACTAATTTTTGAACTACCCCTTCTGGTTGGAAGGATATTCGATCGTCTTTTAAAATCTCTGTCTCGTCCTTCTTCCAAGTTACTGTATCGACTTTACGGGGCAATGTGACTGCTAAATCTAATCGACTTCCCTCTTCGATTTCTACAATGTTCACCTCTTCCAATTTTTCCACCGGTATTTCTATAATTATAAAATGAATATAGATACGGTTTTAATTTATATTGATGAAATATAGGTAGCCGTACCATTTATAATGACTCGTGTTTTGACTTTTTTCCCTTCGAATTCCAAGCTGTATATTCCTTTATCTTCGTGGTCTACCTTAGATACGACCAATTTATAAACGACCCCTTGTTGTACAAATTTCACCCTATCATCCTCCAATATTTCCGTTTCATCCTTTTTCCATTTCACGTCCTTTATTTCGCGAGATAAAGTTACCGTTATTTCAAGTGTAGCGCCTTGATCAACTTCTATTACTTGGATTTCCTCAATCTTTTCCGTTGGAATTTCTATTTATTTTATAATACAATATTAGCACACTGCCAAATGATAATCTCTTCATATATGCAAATATATAACGTATATTACCTTTGACCACCACTTCCGTTTTAACTTGTTCGCCCTCGAATTCTAAAGCGTACACACCTTTATCCTCTGGAACCACTTTAGATATCACTAATTTTTGAACTACCCCTTCTGGTTGGAAGGATATTCGATCGTCTTTTAAAATCTCTGTCTCGTCCTTCTTCCAAGTTACTGTATCGACTTTACGGGGCAATGTGACTGCTAAATCTAATCGACTTCCCTCTTCGATTTCTACAATGTTCACCTCTTCCAATTTTTCCACCGGTATTTCTATAATTATAAAATGAATATAGATACGGTTTTAATTTATATTGATGAAATATAGGTAGCCGTACCATTTATAATGACTCGTGTTTTGACTTTTTTCCCTTCGAATTCCAAGCTGTATATTCCTTTATCTTCGTGGTCTACCTTAGATACGACCAATTTATAAACGACCCCTTGTTGTACAAATTTCACCCTATCATCCTCCAATATTTCCGTTTCATCCTTTTTCCATTTCACGTCCTTTATTTCGCGAGATAAAGTTACCGTTATTTCAAGTGTAGCGCCTTGATCAACTTCTATTACTTGGATTTCCTCAATCTTTTCCGTTGGAATTTCTATTTATTTTATAATACAATATTAGCACACTGCCAAATGATAATCTCTTCATATATGCAAATATATAACGTATATTACCTTTGACCACCACTTCCGTTTTAACTTGTTCGCCCTCGAATTCTAAAGCGTACACACCTTTATCCTCTGGAACCACTTTAGATATCACTAATTTTTGAACTACCCCTTCTGGTTGGAAGGATATTCGATCGTCTTTTAAAATCTCTGTCTCGTCCTTCTTCCAAGTTACTGTATCGACTTTACGGGGCAATGTGACTGCTAAATCTAATCGACTTCCCTCTTCGATTTCTACAATGTTCACCTCTTCCAATTTTTCCACCGGTATTTCTATAATTATAAAATGAATATAGATACGGTTTTAATTTATATTGATGAAATATAGGTAGCCGTACCATTTATAATGACTCGTGTTTTGACTTTTTTCCCTTCGAATTCCAAGCTGTATATTCCTTTATCTTCGTGGTCTACCTTAGATACGACCAATTTATAAACGACCCCTTGTTGTACAAATTTCACCCTATCATCCTCCAATATTTCCGTTTCATCCTTTTTCCATTTCACGTCCTTTATTTCGCGAGATAAAGTTACCGTTATTTCAAGTGTAGCGCCTTGATCAACTTCTATTACTTGGATTTCCTCAATCTTTTCCGTTGGAATTTCTATTTATTTTATAATACAATATTAGCACACTGCCAAATGATAATCTCTTCATATATGCAAATATATAACGTATATTACCTTTGACCACCACTTCCGTTTTAACTTGTTCGCCCTCGAATTCTAAAGCGTACACACCTTTATCCTCTGGAACCACTTTAGATATCACTAATTTTTGAACTACCCCTTCTGGTTGGAAGGATATTCGATC